TGAAACTATTCTGTGTGATACTGTAATGATGGACACATGACATTATGCATTTGTCAAAACCCATAGAACTGTACAACGTAAAGAGTGAAACCTAATGTAAACTATAAACCAAAAAAAAAAAAAAAACACGGTTGCTGTGGAGTAGTTTCTGACTCATGCTGACCCCCTATGTTGCCAAGCAGGACTGCTGCATAGGGTTTACAAGGCTGTGACCTTTTGGAAGCAGATTGCCGGGCCTTTCTTTCGAGGTGCCTCTGGGTGGGTTCTAACTGCCAAGCCTTCAGTTAGTAGTAGTTTGGGCCACCCAGGGATTCAATATAAACTATAGGCTTTAGTAATGATGTATCAATATTGGTTCATTAATTGTAACAAATGTGCCACAGGAATGCAAGATATTAATAACAGGAGAGACCTCGTGCTGGGGAGAGCATGGGTATATGGGAACTCTATACTTTCTGCACAATTCTTCTGTAAACCTAAAACTGCTCTAAAAAAAGTCTTTTTTTTTTTTTAAAGTAGTTTAATGGTATGCAGCAAATGATACTTTTAGGCTGTATTCCCCAGAGCAGACTCATCTAAAAGGCAGGTATTAGAAAGTGTGGGGCGGGGAATGGGGGGAGTGGGGGTGGGAAGGATGTAAAAAGGGGCAGGAAAGTGGAGAGTGAGACCTGGAAGGGAAGGAGGCCAAGCAAAGTCTCACAGAGAGCAACTGCGGCTCAGAGGGAACTGGAGCATTTATACCCCCAGATTTGTCAGTCAAAGGTCCCTGGGTGTTGCAAACTGTTTGCACTTGGCTACTAAGCAGAAGGTTAGCAGTTCCAACCCACCCAGCCACGCAACGGAAGAAAGGCCTGTCGATCTGCTTCTGTAAAGATTACAGCCAAGAAAATCCTATGGAGCAGTTCTACTCTGTACCACATGGGTACTATGCGTCAAAACCCAAACTCTGCAATGGGTTTGGGTTTTTTGGTTATTTGTCAGCCATCGCTTCAGGGCTTAGGGAAGGGGACAAAAATTTCCAGGAGCTTCCAGCACTCCCAGCACCAGGAAACAGTTCCTGCAGCCAGAGACACAGGTAGGGCAGTTGGGGCTGAAAGTGCACTGGGGGTCAGTGTGAACAAAATAGTCAAGGATAGAGAAGAAACGTGCAGAACACAGTCTCTGTCCGAGGCTCACGACCTAGGAGGGGAAGGCGGCGTTGAGTACATCACTGTAGTCGGAGTTTTATACCAGGCACAGCGGCACCACAGACTGGGGGACGCGGGAAGGGGGTGGGCGAGGAGAGGCTTCACTGAAGAGACACACAGAGGTCGGTCACTCCAGGCAGAGGGGACAGCACGCACAAATGCAGAGGCCTGATAAAGCCTATTGCACACTGGCGCAAAGTCGGGTCTTGGGGGGGACCAGTGAGCACCTGAGCCGCGAGAGCCTTGGGGATGTTGGGGGGAAGGGAGGCAATTTCTGCGCCTGCGCATTCACGCAAAGCTCCTGGGCGGCCCCTTTCTGGCCTGTCCTCCCACCACAAGTTCTGCCCTTCCCTCCAGGCCCTGCTCCGGCCCCTCCTCGTGGAAGCCTCACTGGACTATACTGGCTCGCCGTGACTCTTCCGTCTTTGAACTCATGGCGTTTACTGCCAAGACTATTTTGGTGCTTACTCACGTAGTTATTTAATTATCTGCATCTTTACTTATGACATCGGTATTTAACTTTACATGTAAGTCCAGCTGGTCTCCCCCGGCTTACTTGTAAGCGCCCTGAGAGTGGAAGCTGTATATTTTTCATTCTTTATATTCCCCCACCACGACTGACATTGGTGGATATATTAAGGGTATAAGATAATGAATGAACAAATAGGTGAATCTAGTTCACTTTAAAAAAAAAAAAGCCGCCATGAAGTCGTTTCCGACTCATAGCAACCTTAACCAAAAAACCCGTTGCCGTGGAGTGGATTCGGACTCATAGTGACCCTATAGGACAGAGTAGAACTGCCCCATAGGGTTTCCAAGGAGCGGCTGGTGGATTCAAACTGCCGACCTTCTGGTTAGCAGCCGAACACCTAACCACAGCGCCACCAGGGTTTCCATAGCAACCTTAGACCTACTAAATTCTACTGCCAAGGGCAGTGGTGGTTCGGTGGTATAATTCCTGCCTTCCATGCAGGAGACCCAGGATTGATTCCTGGCAAGCTGCCATCACTTGTCTGTTGGGGAGACTTGCATGTTGCTATGATGGTGAATAGATTTCAATGGAGCTTCGGACTAATACAGACTAGGAAGAAAGGCCTGCAATCTACTCCCCCCCCCAAAAAAAAAAGCCAGTGAAAACTCTATGGAATTGGTGTATGTTCTGCTGTATATAGTCTCAACAACATAAAATAAAATAAAATATATATTTTAAAAAAAAATGAAAAACAACCCTATGGATCACAATGGTTTGATCCCATTGTGCATGCGATTGCCATGAGTCCACCAAGTTAATGGCAGCTAACAACTACAACAAATTCTACTAGACTCACTCCTACAGTTCTTATGTGTTCTAAAATTAGGTCTAAATCCTAAACTTAATTTTGTTTCGATATCACCACATATAGGTTTTAATGGGAGTTACTATGTAAGCAAACTTAGCCCTAAGGGGTGAATTTTAAGGTCATGCACCCTCAATTTCTTTTAGCCTCTCTTCAATCCCAGCCCTGATAGCCTCTCAGTTGATTCAACCCTTGGAATCTCTAGGCTTTTTTAACTTTACCGTTCAAATACTCCCATAAGGAATTTTGAAAAACCCTACACATTTACACATTTTTAAGTCAACATCTAACATTTTTAATCATAAGTTTAAATAGTTGCAAGGTGTGTAATTTCCAGGGAATTTTAAATATTTACATATTAAAACAAAAGTCACTTCACTCTTTTGAATATAGCCTATGAAATACAATATCATAGCAATTTTATATCCATTAATACTCTTAAGAAGTCAACAAGTCATTAACCAGTCAGAAAGTTTGACTTGTTTCTTTTTCTTCCTTTTCCATTCCACTTTCCCTACAGAATTGTATCCTAAAGAAATATAATTCAATACTTGGAAGTCTTTTACTACCTATCTCTGTAACAAAAACATGTATATAAATTGAAATTTATTACCCGTTACCACAGACTCTAAGTATTAACAGCAGTTGTTCTGCACTGAATTTACAATTACAGGTAGTCCCCGACTTATGACCAAGTTCCATTCCAACTACTGCTCTATCATAAATCAGTTCTGATGTAAGTCGAATACTTCATTTTTTTTTGTTTTCCTTATTATTGTCTTTTATTATCAGTATCTTTATAAATCTGATCTTTATTTGCCTTTTGAGGTTGGAAACATTACATCTGAGAATGATAACATCAGTAAATTACATGCTGCAACATTGTAGTACATATTACTAATGATAAGATGTACACACACACAAAAAAAACTGGATGGTCGTTAAGTGTAGTTCATCGTAACTCGGATACGGATCCGTCATGAGTCAGGGACTACCTGTATAATTATGAAAAGACACAATTGATCAAAACTGCAAATATTGACAACTGTGGGACAGTAGTTAAAGTGCTTGACTGCTAAGCGAGAGGATGTCAGTTCAAACCCACCAGCCACTCTGCAGGAGAAAGATACGGCTCCCGTAAAGATTACAGCCTTGGAAACCCTATGGGGCAGTTCTACTCTGTCCTATAGGGTCGCCATGAGTCGGAATCAACCCAATGGCAATGGGTTTTGTTTTTTTTGTTGTTAAATATAAGACATAAACTTTTATTGAAAATGCATCTTACTGATCAAAAGGGAGAAAATGCAGAACAGAATTTAAGTTCTCATAGAATCCAGATTTTCTGGAGCCATGGACACTGCATACCCCTCTATTGCGCTGAGATAATCGTTAAACCTTAAACCAAAAATATCCCCTTAAGTCTTCTTAAAACCAAACAATCGGTTAGCTTAATTAATAAACAATGTCTACTTGAGCATTATGCTCTTTTAAGATCTATGTGGGATCAAATTGACAACAGCAACTCAAAAGATTAGATAGGAACCTTAGGGGGCGGTGAGTTTGTGTCAATAGGGGAGGAACAACTCAGAAAAGGAGGGTGAGAATGGTTACACAACTCAAAGAACGTAATAATCAATGACACTAAATTGTACATGTAGAAATTGTTGAATTGGTATAAGTTTTGCTGTGTATATTCTCAACAACAAAAATATTTTTTAAAAAGAAAGAAAATGCATCTCTTAATGAGCTGGAAAGGGTTAACTGATATTTGCCATTGACTGTTTGGCAGCCCTGGGAAGAGCAGTCTGGATCCAAGAAAAGGGTCAGGGAGAAATGTAAATGTCTTTGTAACTCTTGATAGCTATATTTCCAACCCTCCTGCTGAGCCCCACATCCTTATACATTATGGACAAGACAGAAACTCAAATTACTTCCAGATCTCAGTAAGTTAATGCTATGAGGAGGGTATCTGAATATTCAAGAACTAATCATTGACAAAGAAGCAGCCTAGATTCAAAATTAAGAGTATATTGTTTTTATTTTTCCGTTTTGGGGAAGTACCATCATTGTCTGCCGATAGTTCCAGCTCTGGCCACCAGGTGGCAGCAGAGAACACAGTGCCACCATCCCTGTTCCCAGGGAGCAGGGAGAGGCAGTGGGAAGGAGGTAGGAGAGGCAGGTGGAGGAGCGAAGCCTGGACATGAGGTAGAGGTGCATGATTAGGCTATCAGAGGAAAAAGGAAGGGAAATGTGAGGACTAAATAAGGATCTCAAGAGAGGATAGAAAATATTGAGAACGACACCCTCAGGGTTCAGAATAAAATTGAGGGGATGAGGAAAGGAATTGTGGAGTTAGGCCAAACTGGGGAGACTTTCAGGGGAATCTGAAGGGTAGGGGTGGGCTTGGGTAGACTCTGCCTAGAGGATTGGGTGCGCACCCAGCGAGGGTGCCTGGGAGCGGGAGCCCTCCACCCAGCTATCTGAACTCCTGCCAGGGCAGGTCAAGGTCCATCTCAGGTGCCGGCGGCCAGGGGTTTTCTGGAGGCTGGGGTCCTGCTGGCCAGGGGTCATCAGGCCGGGGAGGTTGAGGGGGATCTGTTATAGGGGGCTCAGGGGGCCAGACTCCAGCTTCAGGCAGGTCTCTCCAGGGACGATTGGGGCCTGGAGGTGGAGGGTCCTCAAAGACAGGGGGCACCCCTGGCCAGGGGTCACCGGGGATTGGGGGGCCCTGAGGCCATGTTGGGGAGCCCTCCTCCTCGTGGGCCTCTGTGGGTGAGGGAGAGGGGTGGTCCCCACTGCCTGAGATGCCTGTAGAGGAGGAAGCAGAGATAAGAGGTATGTGAGGGCCAGATCCCCCTCAGCTACAATTCCAGGGGCATAGGCTCTCTGGGATGGGCCATAGCCCCAGGGGAGCTGATCCCACAAACTAACCTCAAAAGTAACTCTCAAAGAGCTCTCTCACATTTACAAAAGGTTGAAGTGATCTTAAAATGACATGAAAACCCCATACTGATCTGAACCATGGACTTGACCAACTTTAAACTGATCCCTCAGATAAGCCCCATCCACCCTTGGTTGGGACAGCCAACTGGCACGGCCCCTAAGCTGGTGTGCACGCCCAAAGTGGTCTACACCTTGGCCCCATGTGGCACCCAGATCTCACTTGCACAATGACTGCCACCCTCCTTAGCTCAGACCCCAGCTCCGATACTCGCCCACACACCGAATTCTGATCTAAATCTCCACATGCAGCTACCCCTGACCCCACCAGAAAGCATCTTCCAGCATCATCTGATTGTGAATTCTTCCCCTCATGCAAACTCCCAGAATCTCCTTCACTGCTCTGCATCCCATTCACCCCCTTCCTTCTTACTTAGTGGGCACCCTGGCCTCACCTGGACCATCCCCTATCATCCCCAAAATTACACTCCAGGCCTCTATCCCCAGCTCACCTTGGGAGCACAAGCAAAGGACCAGGATCCCCACTAGTTTCCAGCTGAGCATCATGGATGTCTCCTGATCCCCAAAGCAAGGGGTGAACTGTGTGGGTGTCTGGGAACCCCCAGAGGCTTTATAGGGAAGGAGGGAGAGGAGGAGGCCAGTCTCTGGGAAGGGACTGGCCCAGTAACACGACTCTTCTCAGAACCTAACTGGTCTAGCCTGTTTGGAAGGTCATGGCTAATATGTAGCCTCTGACAATAGTGGCATCCCTCATTTTAGAACCCCAGCCCAGGGCCCAGCGGCCCAGCTCTCTCTATCAGTGACCCAGGGGTCACCTTACCCTTGTTTTCATGCCCCCCTCTATCTACACTCTGCAGCAATCGGTACCCATCCGTCCCCCCCGTAATCACAGAGACGTCCATCTTTCATCCCTCATGGCTGCTGGGAGCCGAAGAATGGGAGCCAGCCACGCGTGGGGAAGCAGTCTAATTACAGGGCTGGCAGGCAGGACGTGTGGGCTGGGGGGGCCTTTGAACCCCTGGATGCATCTAGGGCACCTCAGCCAGTGCAGGAGCCTCCCCACCTACCTCCACTGTGAACACTCCCAGATAGGCTTAGTTCTTCCCTGGAACATGGCCCCTCAGGGCCCAGGCACAAAGCTCTCCAGGATCTGCCTTCTTCAGGCATGCGGAGTTCAGGGGGCCTCCCAAGCAGGCACTTGTGAGGAATTCCATCCAGGAGCTTCCTGGGGTGACTGTGGATGAGGAAGAAAACATGAGGACACCCTGATTCCTGCTCCCCACCCAGAGCAGAACATCAGTCATAGTGCCGAGGCTGTGGAAGAAACTACCTCAGCCTCTCCCTCCTCTCTCAGGACTCCTCTCTGCCCTCTGCCCCTCTCCCCTGGTCCTTGGCTCCAACCTTCTCTGCCCACCTCCTCCCTCCCCTGACCCTTGCCTTTCTGTGGGTCTCAGCTTACTTGTTTAAGCCTGAGATACCCGTGGAATTTTTCTCCTCAAGGACGCCTCTGCTCGTAGGTCTAATAAGCCTCTCAGAAGTCCAAAATAGAACTGAATTCCTCCCCATGTTGTCTCCCATCTGGTCTGCCCCATGGCAGTGAGAAGCACCCGCCCTGTGGCTGAAGTTGAAAAACTTCATTCCTCTTCTCATCTCCCCTCCTCCACCTTTACCCAACGCACCTGCATGATACCCCAAACCCAGCCACTTCCTGTCCACCTCCCCTGAGCCTGAACCACCACCATCTCTCTCCTAAATCCGTTGCCATGGAGTTGATTCCGATTCATGGCAACTCTACGTGTTAGAATAAAACTGCTCCGTAGGGTTTTCTTGGCTATACTCTTTATGGAAGCAGATGGCCACTTCTGTAGCACCACTGGGTAGGTTCGAGTCACCAACCTTTAGGTTACTAGTCCAGCACAAACCGTTTGTGCCACATTGGACACCCCTAATGCCCTAATTGGGTCTCCTTGTTCAGTTCCATCACATTACTAAATTTTATTTTCTCTTCACAGCACTTAACTATTGTTTGAAGTAATCTACAATGTTCACTTATCAAAAAAAAAAACCCAAACCCATTGCCATTGAGTTGATTCTGACGCACGGCAACCCCATGGGTTAGAGTAGAACTGTTCTATAGGTTTTCCTGCCTGTAATCTTTATAGAAGCTTTTCTTCCATGGTGCATTCAGTGGGTTCAAACCACCAACCTTTGGTTAGTAGTCGAGTATAAACCGTTTGTACCACCCGGGGACCCTGCTTCTTCACTCAGATGCTTGTGTACCGTCGTCTCTCCTCACTAGGCTGTGAGGCCATGGGAGCACGGACCCTGGCCGTCAAGCCCACCCCTGCAGCCCTAGCAAGCACACTGCCTGGTGAATAAATGGCTGCTTTCTCTTTCCCATTCCCGGCATTTATCAACTTCCTGAGGTGAAGTTTTAGAACAAGATGAGAACAAAGAAAACCTGGAGACTCTCAAACAGCTTCCAAAGCAGCCTAGGAAAGGGGTTTTGAAAAGGAACTATCTAGAGAAAGCTGTATGGGAGACTTCTCATGTCTCCAGGAAAAGAGCTGACTGTAGGGAGGAATCCCTTTCATTCCCGGATATGACAATTCCAAACAATGGCTCTTACTGTAATCATCTTTATTTAGCACAAGAGGATTCACAGGTATCGGGTGGTAAAGAGGGCTGGCTGCCTGCTCCACTTCTCCAGATCCTTCCTGGTCCTCCCTTTCAGCTGTGGACAGGCACAGGAGAGTTCTGGTTGTCTCCTTGACACAGACCTTCCTCTTTGGCAATGGCCTCAGTCAGGCCCTGTAGGTCATCAAGCAGAGCAGAGAGGGACCCTGGGGAAGAAGATGCCAAGGGGTAGGAACTGGACAGGAGAAGGCTCCCACAGTGACTGTGCAGAAGGAACAGGGTATGAGGGTCGTGAGGGAGAAAGTTCCTTGGGCCATGGTGAGTGTGGATAAAGGAGGCTGTGGGCCTCCAAGGATCACAGAGAATACCACTCATGTACCCAAGAGTGTCTGGAGGAGAGATTCCTGCAGTCCTCTCATTTATCCCTTCACACCTGAGCCCTTACCTTTTATGGGGTCCCTGGAGGAGGGTGCCATTGCTGGAGATGAAGCTGCTGGGGGAGCTGAAGGTGCTGAAGATCCTGGAGGCTTGGGGCTGGACTCCACAGATCTCCCCTTGTCCAGTAAGGATGGAAGGACTGCCAGGAGCCGCTGCTGCTTGTAACGGGAGAGGAGACCCTCCTGCCGCAAGGTGGCCTGGGAAGGAGAGGGTTAAATGCCACCTAGCCCGGTGGGAGCCTCCCCTTCCTCTTTCCACACCTCTGCCCTCCAACCAGCCCACAATAGGCCCTGGTCTCCAGGTCTCACTGTCCCCTACCAGCATGAGGTTCTTGTCCCTCTCCAGCTCCTGCAGGCGCCGGGTCAGCCGCAGCCCCTCCTCCCTGCGGGCCTCATCCTGCAGCTGTCTGAGCTCCTGGTTTCGCTCCTTTTCTCGGGCGGCTTTACGCTGGATCTGGCGCAGGGAGACCACTATGGGGAAGCCAGGGCACAGAGGGGGCGGGGCGGGTCAGCCCAGAGGCAGCAAGATCCCATGAAAACACACTGGAATGACAGGCAGGAACATTGGGTCACCCAGCTCTGTGACCTGGGGCAGTCACTTACGTTCTGAGGACATCTGTGTCTCTTCTGTACAGTGGGCTGGTGGGCTGGTGTTCAGGCAGCCTATGAATCTCTGAAGCCAAAGCACCTTCCCTATCCCCAAACCACCCCAGAGTCACTTAGGGGAAGGCTGAATATGGACTGGATATCAGATGTGGGGCAATAAGTTTTTGTTTTCTTAAAATGTGGTAAGGTATTGAGGTTATATAGGATAATTTCCTATTTGTGGGCAATGCAGCCGAAGGGTCATGATTTTATAACTATCAAAGTTTCAGAAAAATGAATATATAAATGTGTACATAACTAGAAAGATCAAATGTGGCAAAAGGGTGTTGCCTGGAAGTATTAGAAGTCTCTTAGAAGTAATGTGTCCAAAACAGAACTTAATTCCTCCCCAGGTTGTTCCCCACTAGATGTTCCCAAATGCATCTAGTTAGAGAAGGTATATGGCTATTCATTATGGCACTCTTTCAACTTATCCAGGTGTCTGAAATTTTTCTTAATAGAAATTGAGGGGTTAACTGTTGAACTGGTATATGTTTTGCTGTGTATATTCTCTGCAACAACAACAAAAAAAAATCATATATATTAAAAAAAGAAAACTGAGGGGTAATCTGTGGTGTTAGTCAGGATGGTGTGGCCTTTGTGGCAGGGTAGTGACTGGTGGGGCATGGGGTCTCTCGTGTTGGTCATGTTCTGCTTCTTGATCTAAGTGCTGGCAGCGTGGGTGTGTTTACCACATAAAACTTCATTTACACCCTTTCCTTGTGTACTTCATTACTTGTATATAACGATAATGTCTTAAAAAAAAGTTTAGGGGAGAGACAAAAGGTGCCAAATAAACCAGAAACTCCATCAGCCTGAGACCAGAAGAACTAGATGGTGCCTGGCTACTACCAATGACCGTCCTGACAGGGAACACGACAGAGAGTACCTGACGGAGCAGGAAAAAAGTAGGGTGCAGAACTCAAATTCCAGTAAAAAGACCAGACTTAATGGTCTGACTGAGACTGGAGGAACCCCAGAAGACATGGCCCCTGGAGGAACCCCAGAAGACATGGCACCTGGACTCTCTGTTAACCCAGAACTAAAACCATTCCCAAAGCCAACTCTTTAGACAAAGAACAAACTGGACTATAAGACATAAAAGGATACTCGTGAAGAGTGTGCTTCTTAGTTCAAGTAAACTAAATGGGCAGCTCCTGTCCAGAGGCGAGATGAGAAGGCAGAAAGGGATAGGAGCTGGCTGAATGGACATGGGAAGTCCAGGGTGAAAGGAGGAATGTGCGGTCACATTATAGGGACAGCAACTAGGGTCACATTAACAATGTGTATATACATTTTTGTATGAGAAACTACCTTGGGCTGTAAACTTTCACCTACAGCACAATTAAAAAAAACAAAAGTTTGGGGGAAGAAATAATAGGCTCCTGTCTCAACACTTCCTTCTTCCTAGAAGGCCCACGTCTCCCCTGGCAAATCTCACCAGCCTTGGCATGCTCCCTCCGAGCTTCGTTCAGTCTCCTCTCTGTTTCCGACAGCTGTTCCCGAAGCCGAGTTTCCACTTCGGCCACCTTCTCTTGCAGAGCTGGGGTAAAGGTGCAGATGGGGTGTGTCAGGAGGAGCCATGGCTCACGGCTCCCACCTTCGCCCCTCCCTCCGCGTGTCCCCCCTTCCCCTCCACCACACCTTGCCCGTAGATCTCCTGCTGCTGCATCAGCTCTCGCCGCAGGCTGGCAGCCTCCTCTGTGCTCTCCTGCTGGCCCTGGCGAGCCGCCTCCAGCTGCAGCCCCACACTGGCCAGGGACTCCTGGGTTTGCTGCAGCTCCTGCTCCAGCTGCTGGGCAACCTGGCTGAGCTGCTGCCGCTCTGCCTCCCCTAGAGGAGGTGGCACTCAGCCGCAGCCTCCTCTCCAGGCCAGCGCATCAGTGCCCAGGCCCCTCCACACCCAAACCGCAGAGGTTCCTCCTCCTCTCCATCCCCACTGCACCCGACCTGGCCCCTGGGAACTCAGGGCCAGATGTACCTTGCTCCCGGGCCCGGCCCACCTCCTGCTGGATGAGGTGGGCACTCAGCTGCAGCTCTGCATCCAGACGGTTCCGCTCTTCCCGAAGCTGCTGCAACTCAACGCCCACATCTGTGGTCAGTGGGGGAGGGGGTGGGGATGGGGGCGGAGGACGGCTGAGACAAGAAGGGGCAGAGAGTCAGGGGAGCTCACACCCAGCACCAACCCCTGTAGCTCTGCCCCTCCTCAGTCTTCACTGCTTTGGGTCCCAGCAACCAACACCCCAAAGCCCACTCTTCCCCCACAGATCCAGGCCCCAAACTTCACCTCTCCTGGCGCAACTGAGCAAGGGCCACTTTCCGAGCCACTAGGCCTGGGTGGGGGAAAGGCAGAGAACAGAGAAATGGGTTTTCAGAGGCAAAAAGAAGAGATGGGGGATGGATATGGGATCAGAATGAACTGGGCCAAGAAGAAGGTCAGAGCTGGTAGGGGCAGGGGCAGGGGGCAGAAAGTGTCCTGCAGTGGCCCTACCCACCCTGAATGGTGTGGACCTTGCGAGCAGCATAGCTGAGTCGGTTGCTGAGGCTGGGGAGCCGGATGACAGCCTGTTCCACCTTGGCCACGGTGTTCTGGAGCCATATCTGAGAGCTGGAGAAGGTAAAGGTCACTGACACTTCAACCCTTACCTCATTCCTAAATGGCCTTGCCAGACCTTGTATAGATAACCCACTTTATCCTGAGCTGTCAAACAAGAGAGGAAAGTTGGACAGGGGAAACAAGAATGGGCAATAGAAGCTGGAGCCAAGGGCAAAGCCAAGCCTGTAACACACACCATCACTTGCCGGCCCTTTGCCGGAGCTGCACTGTAAGCCTGTCCTCCTGTCCCAGCTACTTCACAGACAACAGGGAAGAAGACAGCCTGAGCACTGAGATCCTTTAGTGACTGTCACCATCAAAATGACCGAGCTCCACCATTTTTAAAACACCGTAGGCTAAGTGAGAAGAAATGGTGTACCCTACACAAAGCATACATAGTGAAAAAGTTGGATTTTTTCCAGCAGGTGCCAGTTGTAAAGAATGTATAAGAATCAACTAGGGGCCAAAATGCAAAACCAAAAATGAAGTAGCTACATATAGTTAGTAATTTCTAGTTTGAACTGTAACTGAATATTGTGGCTTCATGTGTATTATTTTATATTGTACTTCTTTCATGATTGATGGTTTGGACTTTAATAAAGGAAATTCCATAGTTTTTAATGTCATAGAAATGAGACTATTCTCAAAAGCAATATACTAACTAAAGTGAATGCTTGTATATATTAAGACAGCCTTAAATCTTTTCCTCTTTTGCCTTAGCTGTCAAATAATTAAAACTTAAAAGCACAGGAATTTAGTTAGCAGGCTAGACTGAGAGGTAAATACCAATGCAGTTTGTGAGCAGGTACTGACGCTGTCAGGGATCAGCACTGTGTGTTTAACTGTGTTTATGCTACAAAAGTGCAATATTAGACACCAGCGAGCTGGTACTGCTACTTTGTGTAACTCCAAAAAGGAAACTAGAATTTGATTAACTAAGTGCACATATTTCTTTAAGTTACCCCACCGTCCTTTGCTTGGATGCAATGCTATGCACATTTATGTGGTGGCTATTTTTATTTAGTTTGCATTACTTTGATTAACACCTTAAACGGAGAGCCAAAATTTCCCTTTTCAGCTGACCAGCAATGGCTGTTTAACTTCAGCAGGGGGGAGAAAAAGACATTTGGGGTGCAAATTGGTAATAACTGGCACTTTAAGATCAGAAAACAATTCTTTGTACTTACACCTCAAAGTTCTGCCTAAAGCTTTGATAAACAGTAATACTCACTACATTTTTTGTAGAATTGTTACATTTAATAAAACTTGCCTGTTTAATCTCAAAAAAAAAAAAAAAAAAATCCAGTTCCTCATAAGAAAACACAGCTATCCCCGATAACCAAATCTATGGTAAGCTTCCCATTTGGGTCCTAGCAATCAGTGTCCTTAATAATAGTCCTACAGTCAAAACAATTATGAGCTTCATGGAATCGTATCTTATCTGGCCCTAGATACCATAACACAGTAAAGCGTTCAGTAAAAACAATGCTACTGGGGCTACAACAGCACGCACCACAGAGCTGTGTAATCTGCAGCAGATTTAGACTTGTCACTTGCAGGCCCCTGAAGGGTCTGGAGGTTCTGGGAGTCCCCTGGCGCTGCGTGCCAGATTTAGGGTATATGAACCGATAGGTTTTGGGAGGGCCCCCGCCCCACAGAGGCATTAAATCACTGCTTATCTTTTCAACAACCCGCTAAGCTTATTCCTCACAACGTGGTTCCTGATCACTACTATGTATCAAAGTTATCCTCTCTACCAAGTCCATGAACGTAGATTCTGATACCAATGAAGGGCAGGTCCCTATGCTTCATGACTGACTGTGCCAGACGTAGGACCGACACCAGCTCACGAGGGTAAGAAGGCTAAGCAGGCCACAGGTTCCTAGGGACAAGGGCCCCGGGGATGTCTGGGGACAGGGCCGTGACTTCCTCAGAGAGTCCAAGTCTGTGCAAACAAAACGACAAACGAATGACAAAGGTCTGAAAGTTGTGTCTCAAACAGCACAGCAAAGAACACTGATACCTGGAAATTGTTTAAGTAGGTGCTTCCAACACCTACTGTGGCTCTTATTTAAACAATTTTCTGACTTCTCAATGTTACATAATACCTCAGGTACCTCGACGTCCAAAGCCGAAAAGAGGTTATTACCTATTTTTCCATCGAGGTGTTCCTCAAGGAGATAAAGGTTCTATAACAAGAGTCAGTAATAGAACAACTAGGAAGTTGTTTAGTGACTGTCACATTAAAATGACTGAACTCCACCATTTTTACGACACAATAGGATAAGTAAGAAGAAACAGCGTACCCTACACAAAGCATATATAGTGAAAAACTTGGATTTTTTTTTTCTAGCAGGTGTAGAGTTTTAAAATATTTTTTTTTCCAACTAAACAAGTTACACCCGTAAATTTTTGGAGGGGGGGGAAAAAAGGTGGACAGAGAAGGAGGGAGGGAGGGGGGAGAGGGAAAAAGAGAGAAAGGTAGAAAGAAAAAAAGGTTGAAAGAAAGGCAGAAAGATTAAGTACCCACACCCCCATCCACGAACTCCTAAAGCTGGAGCTCCTCCCAGGTGCTCTATAAGCCCCAGCTGTTTACAGACTCAACTGCCTGAGGAGCCATTACCTCACCCCAAGACAGAACACGTCAGGGGAGTTCATAGCAACTGCTCTCAGTGTGAATGTGGAGGGGTTGCAGCAGGAAAAACAAATCCAGGGACTTTTACGGTGCTGAATGCCTCTAGCCCTGTAGCCTCAACATTCGCCAGCCTGCCAGCCCCTCCTGCCTGAGGCCCTCAGACACAAGGTGTCCTGGAAGCTGATAAGCGGAAACAACCCCACCCTAAGCCTCCTTCCCGGGTACCTGCACACAGAATTGGCCACCAGCTTAAGCTGCTCCTCTGCCACAGCCGTCTGCTGCTGCTGCCGGCGCCAGGCCTCCAGAGCACGGCTCAGCTCCCCCTGCAGGGCCTGGGAAGGATGCAGGTCACCACAATGTACCCGTTCCTGGCCCCATCCCTCCCTGCTCGGTAGCCTCTGGCCCTCTCAGACCCTGACCTTAGCGCCGACCCGCTCCACCTCAACCTCTGCGGCCTTGTCCTGCAGGGAGCGCTGCAGGATGGCCTGCTCCTGGCTCTGCGCCGAGACTCTGCCCTCCAGCTCGACCACCTGGGGAGGAGAGGAGGCTGGGGCCCAGGCACTTCTAGAGCCCAAAGCTGCAGGAGGAGCACTGAGGATGAAGGGTGTCAGGGCGGGGCTTGCTGAAAGAATGCCATGCAGGGAGACAAGAAGCTTGGGCTCCTGAGAGTGGGGCCTTTTTCCTTCCAGGAGCATTGTTCTATGTGCCCACACCTTAAGGAACTGCTCCATGACCCCCCAACAAGAACCCACCACCTCTGACCATGTCACCCACCTCCTCAGAGAGACCTTGCCTGACCATCCCACCTACAGCTGCTGCCACCCCACAGTCCCTCTTCATCACATATCTTTTATATTTTTCTTTACAGCACATACAATTGCTTGACATCATCAAATTACTTAGTTGCTTATTGTGTGCCTTCCCTCTAGAATGTACGCTCCGTGAGAGCAGGTACTTGGTCTGGCTTTGCTCGGGGCTGCATCCCCAGCATGTGGTACCACTCAATAAATTTTTGTTGACTAAATGAAGAAACACCTTCCCATTTATGTAAGGAGCAAAGGGTTGGCAGGGGCAAGGGAGGGAATCATTGGGAGAAAAAGAGTCAAGTGACCTGTCCCTTCAGGTGCTCCGCATACTCCCTGTGGCCCAGCTCCTGGGCCTTCAGCTGCACCATAAGGGCAAACACCTTCTCCCGCCAACAGGTTAGCAAGGACTGGAACTTCTTGGAGAGCTCGGGCTCCAGGGAATCTGAAGACTGAACCTGCGGTGGGAGGAATGAGGCGGGTGTGGGCTCCTGGGGGAGGGGAGGAAGGACAGGGCATCCTTTGCTTTTTCTCTGTCCCACCCTGAGCAACAGGAGCTACAGCAAGAAGAGGAATTCAGGGAATGACCCTGGGCAGTTCCACAGCACACCTGCCCCTCCCACATGAAGGGAGTGAGGCTGGGGACAGAAGATCAGGACCCAGAGTGGAAAAAGGGCCCCTACCTTCCTGGCCAGCTCCTCCTCCTGCAGTGTCAGGATGTAGGTGAGGCTCTGCACTCGCACCTGCAGCAGCTCAGCAGTGCTGCGCAGGGCATCCCGCTCCTCCTGCAAGCGCTGTGGGCAGGAGGGGAGCCACCTGTAGGGCCTCCATGCTTGCCCTCACTCAGCCTGGTCTCCCTTGCAGCCCGTCTCCATGCTGTCCCCACTCCCAGGGGCCACCCCTACCTCAGGACCCGGTCCCTGAGCTCTCACATCCCACCCAGACCCCCGCTACACACACATAAATGCACCCCAACACTCTCTCTCACCTGTACGGTTTCCAGGAGCTCCTGACGCTCCAGTTCCCAAGCCTGGCTGCGGACTTCTTGAGGGACTTGTTCCCCCACATACGTCCTTAGATTCTCAACCAGGGTCACCTGAGCCTCCAGGTCTTCTCTGGTCTTGCTGGGGTTGAGGTGGGAACAAGCAAACCATCAGTAGGGTGTTCTGGAGATATGCCACACCCACCAACTGCTGGCCTCCTCCAGGGCGGCCCACCCCCCACCCCCATCCACTTACCTCAGCTGCTTCTGCAGCAGCTCATTCTCCCTCTGGGACATGGCCAGCTCCTTGACTTCCTCTGCCCGCCTGGCTTCCAGGCTATTCAAAGACTTCTCCAAGCCCTCAGCCTTGTTGGTCAAAGCGGAAAGAGCCTCCTGGTGAGCTGCTGTTAAGCCGGAGAGCTATGGAGAAAAGACAGGGCTCAGCTGGGCCAGCTAACTCCCACTTCTGTGCTTTCCCCACCTGCTCCTGCTTTGGCTTTATCCCTTCCCTCTCACCTTCCGTGACCTTAGGTAACGACCCAACAAACCACCCCACTGCACATGGCAAGATGGAGCCCGCAAATGGGCACCTCTCTCTCCTCCGTCGCCCACACCCAATCCATCACAATTCCTGTCTGCTCTTCCCTCAAAGCATAATTTCACTTATCTCCATCTCCACTGCTGCTGACCTAGGCTGGTGAGGCCCTGGCCTCAAGGATGAGCTTACTGTCTGCTGGGGGAGACACACATTAAACATGTGATGGACTCATGATTAGTTGCACCCTCGTCTCTTGCCTGGACGACTGCAACAATTTCCTAAAGAGTTTTTAAACACCTTCAGTGGATTGCCACTCCAACGTCAGAAAAGAATTCAGCCATGTTTTCTTCCTTTATGGTTTCATTGTTTAACATGTCAATTTGTTAGGCTGGCCTTCCCTACCGCCCCCCTACCCTCAACTAGACTAGGGCTCCCTTGCCCTTCTTCTTCATGGCACTTCTCCCAATTGCAATTAATTATGAGGACATCCAGTATTTCATGTGTCTCCCCTACTCGACTGTAAACTCACCCATGAGGGCAGCGCTCGGGCTCGTTTATTCCCCCAATGAATCCCCAGCTCCTATCTCAGGGTGGCAAAGAGAAAGCATCAATAAGTGGTGACTGGAGAATCTCCCTCTCCCGGTTCACAGCAGGCCCCCCCTCCCACCTCCTCACTCTCCCCCACTGCACGGCTCCCAGATGAACTGGGTCCTGGAGTGAAGTAGGAAAGCAAAAACTATAAAGGTCTTGGAAGGGGAAGGAGGGCATCAAGTGGAGGGAGGGCATATGAGTCCTGGGAAAAGAGTGGAATCTAATTAAGACCAAAACATCCAAGTTCTCCTTTTCAGGTCACCTGTTTTTTCTCCTTTACTGAAGATCTCACCACTTCACTGCTCACAGACACCTTTTCTGCGGTACCTTAGTTCTTTGTTGGGAAGCTACTGCCCAGTTCACACTGTTGTGAAGCTGAGCCCTTCCCGCTCCAGCATTCACCTGCTCTTGGTGCAGCCTCTGAACTTCCTCCAGCTCCCGCTGGCTCCCCTCTTCCAGGTTCTTCCGGACGACCTCAGCCCCAGCCAGGGCAGCCCGCAGGCCCTCGGCCTCAGCTCGGCCGGCCTTCTCCGCCCGTGCCAGAGCCTCCAGCTCCATGGCCTGGGATTCCAGCCTCATCTTCTGCTGCAATGAGGTCTCCCGCAGGAGCCGGACCTCCTCCTCAAACTGCCGCAGCTCTTGCAGCTGCCGAGAGATCAGCTCAGCCTGCTGGGTCAGGGCCTGAGACCCCTCCACGGACCTTCAAGACAGGTTCACATACGTGAGACATATTTCTGGTGCTGGGAGGGTAGACACAGACACCTGGGCCTCTCTGCTGCCATCTAGGGCCATAGGAGACAGGAGGAGAAGATTCCTCTTCTCCCATGTGGGGAGGTGGAGCATGAAGATGGGCCATGGGACCTCTGCGGAGGCATGAGGAATATTACACAGAGATCTCTGCATTTACATCACCATCATCCTTCATCAAGGCCCTAAGCACACTAGGCCCACTGTCTGGGCTCACACGGAGCCCTGATGGCACAGTGGTTAAACGCTCGGCTGCTAACCAAAAGGTCGGCAGTTCGAACCCACCAGCCACTACATGGGAGAAAGATGTGGCAATCTGCTTCCATAAAGATTACAGCCTTGGAAACCCTATGGAGCAGTTCTACTCTGTCCTATAGGGTCGCTATGAGTCGGAACTGATTCGATGGCAGTGGGTTTCTCCAGGCTCACAGGACCTAAGGGCTAGCTGAGATCATGGAACATATACCTAGGAAGAGCCACATATATAGATATAGATATATATAAAACATCAAATGCACACATGGTTGTGGTAGAAAGGGAAAGCAAGAGGTGGGGAAAGCAGTGTGAGTAGGGTACATCATTAGGACACACATTCTGAGTAGATAGGCTGGAAGAACACTCAGAGACTTCTAGATTCTGATTTAAGGGCAAGGAAGTTTGGACGAGGAGCAGGGGTACAGAGATTATGAGCTTCTAGTACCAATATGGTAAGGCCAGGAATTAGTTAAAGGCACCTACTGAGTGTTCAGCATACTGTATGAGGAGTCAAAGAGAATAGTACATCAATAAATTACACAGGCCCTACCTCTGGGGAGTATACAGTCTACTGGTGTCGTGTAAAGTTTAAACTAACTCATAACAAGGTTCTTGAGACAGCTTCCTCACTGAAGCCCAAAGTCAAAAGATTTTTCAGAAGTGGCAGGGATCTGTGGCCTAGAAAAATTAAGTGACTGGCTAAAGGTCTGTCAGCTAGCAGCCAAGCTAGCATTAGAGGGTGTCCATCTCCTGACACCTAGTCCAGGGCTCTGCCTTCTTTATTATGCTCCTTCCTCTTTGACAGGGTCCAACGCAGACTCATGTGTGTAAGCCCACTCTAGAGCAAAATGGCAGAATGACATTCCAGTACATTTGGGGAAAACACACACGAAACATTCAGAATAAGAATTTTTATAGACAGCACATTAACAAATAGCATGGTCAGTTCTAATGCCATGTCCTCTGTAAAGGCCTTCTTCAACTACACCATCAGAATGAATCTATACCACCACAGTTGTTGTCAGGTGTCGTCAGTCAATCTCGACTCACAGCAACCCAATGTGACAGAGTAGAACTCCCCACAGGGTTTCCTACGCTGTAAATCTTTATGGAAGTAGATCACCAGTCTTTCTCCCACAGAGCCACTGGGTAGGTTGGAACCGCCAACCTTTCAGTTAGCAGCCAAGCACTCAACCATTGTGCCACAAGGCTCCTTCACCACCAGAGTACTGAGTCTATACTCCTGGACTGCCCTTCTTCGTGCTTATTAGGATCAGCTATTGACCAATCTATCTCCTCCCCTAGGATTTTCGATTCTTTATCATCAGGATCTCTTATTCATTTTTGTTATCCCCATCCCTAGTCTCTAACACTCTGCCTTATTATTATTTATGTGTTGTAGGCGCCCAATAGTTGCTTATGTAAACATGAACGAATTATGGAACCAAGAGCTGAAAGAGGAATAAACGCATGCAGATAAAATTAACATCTTAAAAAAAAAAAGAGCTGAAACAGAGTAAGGAATCTATTTTCATGAAGGATCAGCGGCAGGCAAGGCTGAGAAAACAGCAATGAAGGATCCCTACCTGACTCTCCGCCCTGGCTCCTGCCCATCACCAGAAGCATCTCGTTCCCACACGGCCATTTGAGGTCTCAAGTTGTCTAACCGCCTCTCTGAAACATCTTGATGGGCTGGGGATTGGACCAAGGGAATGTCTGCAACCCAGGTGGGAGCCATTCTTGGCAGAGTTGGAAGCGATCGAGCTTGGAAGTGAGATGGGGGAATTAGCCCAGTGGAACCTGAGGAATCACAAGGGCACAGATGGTCAGTTTCCCAAGGAGAGGCAATCACCAGTCCCCTGCTTGGTCCCACTGACCTGAAGGTCGCAACATCTCCACATTATTTGAAGTCTCTAGATTCTGTCTCCAGCCATCCATGTTCCCCTGGACAATTGGAGAAACAAGGACACTCCAATTCAATTTTCAAGCCTATTTCCAAAGAGAAAGCCCCTACAAATAACAAAGTCATCCTCCCTAAATAGCAGCCAGGTCCACCCTACTCTCAGCTCCTCTTATTTTCTGAAAGGAGATGCCTCAAGACCATAGATTGTCCCAACTAAGATCCTGACAGAACTCTGGCAATAACCATAGATGGAGGGAATTTACTGAGAGACAGGCTGAGGAGGGATGCTCTTAGGTTCTACTCATACTTTTAGGATTCTGGGCAGTGATTTTACCCTCTTCCTTAAGCTTCTATAGTCCTTGCTGCTCCTGCACATCGAAGGTATGGATTCCAGGGGCTGCAAGCCCAATCTCCAGAGTTCTCTCCATGGCTCAGAAAGGCCTTGGGGAAGCCCATCCAGACACCACCAAGCCATGACTCCTGGGTCCTTCCCTACAAAAGCGCCTGCCCAAGGCCTGGCCCCAGATGAACGTGGCCACATGTGGGGCAAAGCACCTCCCCAGGATCCCTGGGAATACAGCCAGCCTAGATCCCCAGGCAGAAAGACCAGCTTTCTGCCATCTCATCCAAACCTTCCCTGAAACCTTCCTCTCAACTTCTTTCTACTATGCCCTCAGCTTCCATTCCTGTTGCCCACCCTCTCCTCTCCAGGGACTTGGAAGATAGAGTTAGCTCTTCAAGATCTTTCCCCCTCCATCCTACCCCAATTTATCTATTTTTTCCTTAATTGGGGATTCGTACTCCTGTCCCTCCCTACATCCTAATCTGCTTTTATCCTGAAGGAATTATCCTGGCTCTTCACTCTCACCTCCCAACTCATCAGTCTGCTCTCGCTCCCTGCACTCCAGCTGGCTCTCGGTTCTCAACCCCGCTCTCCCCACACACCCGTTGCCCCTGAGCCTTCACCCTGGGGGCCCTGGGCGCTAAGGCTGTTCTGACCACCTCATCTGGCCCTTGTATCGCTCGTTTCCTCTGGACCCCTGAGCCCACCCTCGTACCCCTTTGACCCCTTCCCGCCCCCAACCGACTCTTCTCGAACGACCCTTACCCAGCGCGAGAGCCCCCATTTGCCCTTAGGCCACACCCCCTACGCCTCACTCCGGGGCCCTGGGCTCCGCCCCTGACTGCGCCTGCGCAGAGCGGGCAGGTTGGCAAGCCGCTCCAGAGACCGATTTCAACCCGGAAGAGAGCTAGAGGAATGGTTTACGCAGGCGCAGTAGCGTCTAAAACTGGGGCCAATTATGGTGTTTGAGCATCTCCGCGCCCTGGCAGCTCCTCCCAACTCCGGGAACCCGGGAAAACTTTTGAGCCAATCAGAAAAGGTGGAAGGCGGGAGTACAGGGAACCCAGGGCGCCGCCCAATGGAGCGAAGCAAGGACAAGTGAGCTGTCCATTCGGGGACAGCACGGGGGGCGGGCTCTCTCGGCGCGAAGCGGAGACCCGGGAATTCCGAAGGAGGGGTTGCGCCAGCCCGCGCACGGAGGCCCCGCCCCTCCTGGCTTGAGCACCCTGGCTGTCAAACATCTGCGGGAGCTTCGGTCCGGGCCAAGGAGCCTGAGGGGTCCAGGGGCCCCAGCACAGGCCGACACTGTCTGGAAAGGAGACCACTCCGAGATGTCACTGCGTGGGTAGATCCGAAACCGGGCTGGGACCGGGAGGGGAAAGGCTGAGTTTGTCTTGCATGATCGCGGGGAGCTCCTTCCGCTGTTTTCAACCCACCCAGAGAAGCTGGGAAGCAGGGGTTTAGATCCGCTTTGGTGAAGAACTTGGGGGTCTTTACGGAGGTGACAGTGGATACGCTTCCCACAGGGTGCCAAATTAGTTACAAGTGAGGATTGAACAGAAAAGCGAGGTGCGGGCGAGCAGAAGGGGTACTCCATTTGGCTATGCAGGTTTGACAGGAAGCTTCTTTTCAAATTACACTGAGGTGATGCGCTCTATTGCACAGAAGCAAGGCCCCACCCCACCCCTCCTGTTGGCATTTCCCCAGAAGCTGCCTAATGTGTCATTGCTTTGCACAGACCGGAGACCTCCCGAATATTTTGCGGCCTGAGGATCCGGCTCAACTGAGGTGCCATAGGGCGTGTGCCTGTTTTGGCATTGCACCAAGGATCCTCCCCGAATTTTCCAGTTTCAAAGCTGCTGGACAGCCAATTTTGCATTGCATGCCTGAACTGCTTGTAGCCTGAAATTCCCCTACTCAGGGAGTGTGCTCCAGGTTGAAACTGCACAAAGCAGAACCCAAGTTTGCATTACACTGGGAAGAGAACTTGGACCAGTTGTACATGACCTAGGAGTGGGAAAAGTGATGAATTCCTGAAGTGGAAGGCGTGGTGCAAAGGAGCACCGCCCATGCTGCCTTGCTTCCAGCTGCTGCGCATAGGGGGCAGCGATCTCTACACCTTCCACCCTCCCACCGGAGCTGGCTGCACCTATCGCTTGGGCCGCAGGGCCGACCTGTGTGATGTGGCCCTGCGGCCCCAGCGAGAGCCTGGCCTCATCTCTGGGGTGCACGCCGAGCTGCACGCTGAACGCCAGGGTGATGACTGGAGGGTCAGCCTGGAGGACCACAGCAGCCAAGGTGAGCAGTGAACAGGGCAGCCTTGCCCCTGGACAGTCGCAGATCCAGGCTTTTGATTAGGGGGCTCCATGGTGGCCCCGCCTGCCTCCAAACTCCTCGTCTGGTTGGATGGAGAGCCGTGATCCAGACCATCTTCCTCCAAAAAGGGTGGTGTCAGAAGTCGTCTGTAGGGCTGACCCTTGATGGTCCTTTTTAGCTCATACAAGGGGCTGGGAAGTAGATCTGGGGCCTGGAGCATCATCGGGGATATCAGTGGGGTTAATCTGTGGCCACTGAGGGCCAGACTCAGACTTGACCCAGTTTTTAGGTTTGTTGAGGCACCTGTTTCCATCTTACGGTAGTTATGTTGAATCACATTTTAATGACTTGGGGAAGTGTCTTTCTCCCTGACTCAAAGGCAGTAATAGTCTCAGCCTCAGAAGGCCAAGGTTCAAGTCCCAGTTCTGCCACTGGCTCCTGGTGAAACCTCAGACCTGTCACTTCACCTCTCTGGGTCTTAGTTTCCTCTTAGGTAAAATGTAAATAGTAAAGCTTAGTGGGTCTGCTTTGGTAGTTGTAGGGATTAGATAATTATAGTAGCCAACGTTCATTTAAGATTTCCTGTTATGAGCCAGATACTGTTTTAAGTGCATTGAGTGTAGGTGGGCATTAATAGTCCCATTTTACCGACTGGGAAAATAAGGCACAAAGAGGTTAAGAAACTTGTCCAGGGTCACAGAGTTGGTAAGTGCTGGAGCCAAGATTTGAACCCAAACAGCCTGGCTCCAGAGCTATGCTGAGATAATAACTGTTCTTTGAATTGGAGCTGGGTGATAGAGCTTCTGTGGAGATGGAGACGTGGACCTCAGGAGTGAGAGAAGGAGTCCATTCCCTCTGTGTGCCCTGTGGGAGGGCACAAGAAAAAAAAAAAACTTGCCGTAAGCTCACAAGCAGCTTACTATCTGGTGTCACCGGCTGAGGGCTTAGAATGTGAGGGAGGGAAGAATGGCAACAGTGTACCATGTTCCTCGTGATGGGCCCCAGAAAATTGAGCACGTCTAGATTTCTCCACTCCTGACTCTGGTCCTTTCTCTTTTTGTTGTTCTCTGTATCTGTCTGGTGCCCCACCATCAACAGGGACCTTAGTCAATAACGTCCGACTCCCAAGGGGTCATAGGCTGGAGTTGAGTGATGGTGACCTCCTAACCTTTGGCCCTGAAGGGCCCCCAGGAACCAGCCCCTCCGAGTTCTACTTCATGTTCCAACAAGTTCGAGTCAAACCTCAGGACTTTGCGGCCATTACCATCCCGCTGTCTCGGGGAGAGGCAGGGGGCGGGGGTGGGTTCCAGCCCATGCTGCCCTCTCAGGGGGCTCCACAGCGGCCCCTCAGCACCCTCTCCCTTGCCCCAAAGGCCACACTGATCCTCAACTCCATCGGCAGCCTCAGCAAGCTCCGGCCCCAGCCTCTCACCTTCTCCCGGGGTGGGAATGGGCCCCAGAGCCTACCCCCTCCCACTCCCTCTGGGGAAGTGGGGACCACCCCTTCTGCCCCACCCCCAGCCCCTAGAAACCGGAGAAAATCAGCTCACCGAGTGTTGGCAGAACTGGACGATGACGAGAGAGGGCCTCCTGAGAGCCCCTCACCAGTCCTCGTGGAGCCCAGGAAGAAACAACGAGGAGAGAAAGCCCCACTGACACCCAGCGGGTAAGTGGAGAGGCCTTCTGGATCATGTCTGCCTTCTGGCAATATTTTTGCTACCTTTTAATTCTGTTTCAGAGCCCCAGTCCCTGAGGAGGCCCTTCTGCTTGGGGGTGGAGATGGGAGGAGGTGGGCAGAGGTGGAATCGATATTGGAATGGCAAGACCTGGGTTAGCTCTACAGACAGAAAAAATATATATATACAGGACAAAGTAAGAGTTAGGTGGGGTGGGGGCAGTGGTTTTAAAATTGAGTGGGTAGGTCAGCACAGAAGTTCCTACTTTTATGTTCAGACATCTTCAGCCACATTCTTCTAGTGCCTAAGGATGGGGAATTTCCAGGCTTACCCTACACGTTTTCAGGGACTGTTTCCAGGTCCACCATACAGATTCTAAGGACAATTTCCAGGTTCACATTACAGATGTCTTACTGAGTTTATCTAGGTCACCCTACAAGCTTCCAAGGAGTTTCCAGGTTCACCCTGTGGTTATCCAGGAATAATTTCAAGGCTCCTCCTACAGTTTTCCAGTGACCCTGGTTTTTGTGTCTTCCCCTCAACTTCCTAGAAACCGTCGTGGGCGTCCTCGGAAGCACCCAGTGAGCGCCCACATGGCCCCCCCTGCAGCTGGGGGTGGGGAACCCTGTGCAGCTCCCCACTGCTGCCTGCCCCAAGAAGAGACAGTGGCCTGGGTTCAGTGTGATGGTTGTGACACCTGGTTCCATGTGGCCTGTGTTGGCTGTAGCATCCAGGTTGCCAGGGAGGCAGATTTCCGATGCCCAGGGTGCCGTGTTGGCATCCAGGCCTAAGGCCCAACATCCAGAGGACAGAGCTGGGGCCTCCAGGCCAGGCGTGTAAACAGTGGTGTGCAAATGGATCCTAAGAAATGCCCCTTCTTCCCTTCCCTCCCCAGGAGGGAATGACACCAGGGAAGGGCCCATTGCCATGGATACTGATTCAGGGACTGGAGCAGGCGCTCATGGCCAAAGGTGACAGAAGAAATGTTCCCTGCCAGAGATACTGCCTCCAAGAAGTTGTAGCCTGGGAATTGGAAATTCCCATTGATACAGGCTGTAGAGCTTGTTCCCATGGACAGAAGAAGGTCTGGGACCAGAGCATCCATCAATTGCAAAGGCCATGCCTAGGAAGATGTGTCATGTGCCCCAGATTTGGACAAGTGGGTTTCTTAATGTCCTTTGATGGCATCACCTGAGGGATTCTGGAAAACCTGGCCCTAAAATCTGCCTATATTATGGCTAGTTCTGCCTGTGGCCGTGATCATCATGACCTGGCTTGAGACATTTTGGACTTTCTGCTTCTATTTCCAAATAAACAATTTCACCCGTGTCTGGCTCTTTAGTCTTCTTGAATCGCTGCCATTAAAGTAAAGTAGTTGAGATTTGGTTAACTTCATGAGGATGGCAAAACTGTTACTGGTTTCACTAGCACTACCAGGAAAAGAGAACGCTAAAGTAGGTGCTGACCTGCTTTAGTGTGGACCAAGCTCCTAACCCACATACAATCCTTGTGGTTTTCTTTGGTGAACCGCACACCAAGCCAAGAGCTTGTCAGACCCATAGTTTTCTATAGTTTCCTTTACCCAAAACAAAAACTTTACTGTATATCAAGTTGATTCCAACTCATGGTGACCCATGTGTTAACAGTGTAACTTGTTCCATAGGGTTTCTTGGCTGTAATCTTTGTGTTAGCAGACCGCCAGGCCTTTATTCTGTGGTGCTGCTGGGTAGGTTCAGACCACCAACCTTTAGGCTAGTAGAGCACAAACCCTTTGTGCCACCCGGAGACCTATATAGTTCCTATTAAGAAAGTCTTGATTATTTTGCAACCTGAATGTCCCTCTCCCTACTTCTGTCCCTACTTAAGACTTAACAACCCAAGGTTTTCATTGAGGAATCAGCTCCAGGAAAAGGGTACCCCATAGCTAGTGACAGAGTCAGACCTTAAAACATGAGGATTTGGCAAGTCACTTAGACAGACAGACAAAACTAAGTGGAAACCAAATGAACCCTTGTATCAAGAAAGCATAAGGTAGAGTTTCTGGTTGGGGTGATCAGCAAAAACAACCACCCAGACTTGGCTTCTCAGTACATATAAAGCCACTGAGGACTTCTAGAATACAAAGTGGGAAAGGCAAAAAAAAAAAAAAAAAGTCAATTTCTAATAGGCAAGGAGGATACGTGGTGACTGCATCCGTTCAACTCATTCTCCCCAGGAACTCATGTCACAGGCTCCCAAGAACAAGCTTAGGCCTAGAGGGCTCTCTACCAATACACTTTGGTTCTAATTCTGACTCTCCCTCTATGTGACCTTGAGCAATTTGAATGGCACTTTGGCTTCCAGGACCATTTGCTTATGAAAACAGCTAATATTTAGCACTGGGTATCCCCATGCCCTGGAGCCCTGGTGGAGCAGTGGTTAAGAACCCAGACTGCAGTGCTTAAGAGGTTAAGAGCTTAAGAGCCCAGCGACTGCTGACCTTTGGCTGCTAACCAGAAGGTTGGCAGTTTGAATCCACCAGTCGCTCCTTGGAAACTCTATGGGGCAGTTCTACTGTCATATAGGGTCGCTATGAGTCTGAATTGACTCGATGGAAACAAGTTTGGTTTTTTTTTTTTTTGTTTTCATCCCCCCGCCCACACTCTCTTCAGTAACCAAAGTAGAATAAACCAAAGACAAAATTATCTAATATCTACTGTGTCCCAGGTTTCTTTATTTAAGAACAAAGTGATGAGTGATGTGGGGATTAAAATCAAGAGCATCATTGAACTCCACCTTCCCTCCAACCAGTTACACCCCCAAATCTCCTGCCCCCACTGTTTGTGTTCCCAATTCCTTCCTTCCTTAGTGAAGAACTTAACCCCAAAAGCCCTGGTACAAACCCCAGGGTCCTATTTCCCCAGCTTCTACCCTTTCCTCTGCCCCCCATTCCTGGGAAGGAAGGACAGGCACCTCAGTTTGAATGCATGGGAGAGCCCAGAGAGGTAACCTGGACAGAGGGGAAGGCTTCCCCCTCAGAGAAAGGGACAGAGGAGTACAGAGTAGTAAAGTGAGGGCCCCCATAGCCTGGGGTACCAAAATGGGGCCCTGGTGCCAGAGGAAAAGACACTGGTCCCCCCGGGAAAGGAGACCCAGCAGCCTCAAAATCCTCTCGCTGGGAGTAGTCACCGCTTGATCGTTTGCCCTTCTGGCGCCGGTTACAGAACCACACTCGGACCACCTGGGGGTGGACACAGAGGAGGGAGTGACATTAGACCATAATCTCCAGGAGGGTGGGGCTGACTGTGTTTGGTCATTATATCCAAAGCCAACAGGGTGGTTGCAGGGCAGAAGCCGGAGCTAGGGAAGAGGGGGTCAGTGGGGAGAAGTAGGAAATGGAGCCAGCGGGGTAGGGCACTCACATCCTTCTCAAGCCCAAGCTGCTGGGCAATGTGGCCGATCTGCTGCAGCGAGGGTTTCGGGCACTGCAGGAACAGGCTCTCCAGGTTGCCTCTCACTCGGTTCTCAATGCTCGTCCGCTTTCTCTTTCGGGCCTGCTGCAGGAGGGTCTCCGTTTTGCATATCTGGGCAAGTGGAGAGGAAAGGGGGTGACAAGGGAGGTGGGAGGGTGGGCCTCAGACCACAAGCAACATCACCAAGGGGCAAGTGACAGGAGGGCTAAGGGGGCACTGACTGGATGTGTTACCAGAGCCAAGAAGCATGACAAAGAAGAATCTAGAAGGGTGGTAGATCAATGGCTGCACACCTTCTCCCAGCAAAACTGAGGAATTACACCCTATCCCATTGAGAACTGCTGCCTCAGTAAGGGGAGAGGCACAAGCAAGGGATGGGAGCAATGCAAATCGGACTGAGAAGGCAGGTCCCTGTGCACCCCCTCCTCCTGCCTTTACCTCCTGGAGGTTTTCGTTGTTGTCCGCTTCCTCCACCCACTTCTGTAGCAGGGGCCGCAGCTTACACATGTTCTTGAAACTGAGCTGCAGAGCCTCAAAACGGCAGATGGTCGTTTGGCTGAACACCTTCCCTGGGGGAGGCCAGTTGAAAGAGAGGCAAGATGAGGTAGCATCTAGAGTGCTGAGGATGCCAAGACCCAGGCCTCAACCTTCTTCTGATCCTCCCGAGATATCCCACACTAGGGTCCCGCCTCTCTAAGCCCAAGTATCTCTTCACCCCTCCTCTCCTTCTTCATGGTTGGAGGTAAACCCTGCTCCTGAAACACCCTGCCCCCCGTCCCCTGGGGCCTTTGAGGGAAGGAAAGGCCCCAGTTCAGGAATGTTCATTTGGTGGGGGTGTGTGTGGCTCCTGTGCGTCAAAACATGCTGAGTGGACTCACCAAAAAGAACCCCCAGGGTGAGCCCCACATCGGCCTGGGTATACCCCAGGGTGATCCTCTTTTGCTTTAAGAGTTTAGCAAATTGCTCGAGGTCTTTCTGTCGAGTTTTGATGTCCTGGGACTGCAGTTTAATAAAAAAAAGCAGAGAACTCATAAAAACATCAACATGCAAGTTACCTACCCCTGTTCCCCATTTTCCTTCTTCATACTTTTTCTAACTATGGTCCCAAAAAATGGCCTATGGAAGTATCTCTGCCTCCCAGATTGCCCACCTAACATCCATCTACAAACGTCATACACTCCTTCACTACTCATTGTTTCATGCATGACAAGGGACCCCTCTTCCTCTAGAAATCCACACATGCAAGTAGATGCAGAGCAGCAAACAGGCCCCGGCCTCAGAGACAACACCTGTCAGGTTATAAAGGGAATTCCTGCCTGTTAGTTCATTTAATACTCACAAAGGCCTTTTGACTCAAGCATTGCCCCGTTAGAGGAAGCTGAGAATAGAGAAAGAGCACCCTGCCTCCGATACTAAATCCAATCTACTCTCCCCAGCTTGCTTTGAGTGGTCCCACAAACTATGACACAGGCGCATATATACACAAATATACTGCAAAAAGTAATAGGTGTTAGCACAGGTAGGAATAAAGTGCTTCGTATATAGTTGGTGCTCGATTAAAAAATATATATGATTATCCCTTTTTTCTGTACTCTTTTGCAATATAGAAGCGTTCGCATTGATTCATTCATTCATTCAACAAATTTATGGAGCACCTTCTATATGCTAGCTGCTACACAAAGTAGACAAATAATTTACCCAGTATATGTTAGAATGTAAGAAATGCTATGGAAAAAAAGTAAAGCAGGGTAGGGGGTTATGGAAGAAAGTAATAATTTTAAATTAAGATGGCCAGGGAAGGGGATATTTGAGCAAAGGGTTATCTGGAGAATATTCTAGACAGAAAAAGGCCAGTGGAAAGGCCCTGAGGTGGGACTGTGTCTGGTGTGTTTGGACGCAGCAAGGCCAGCACGGCTGGAGCAGGGCGAGTACAAAGCAGAGAGGGTAGGAGCTGATGAAGTCCAAGAGGTGAGCAGGGCAGAGCCTGTAGGCACTGCAGTACCCTCGGCATTACTCAGTGACATGGGAAGCTGCTGAAGGGTTTTAAGGAGTGAAAAGATCGGCTCCTACATTTTAAATCGATCACTCAGTTGACACATTAACAATAGACTGGAAGGAGAGGGCACGGGTAGAGCTAGGGAGACTACTGTAATCGGACAGAGACGATGGTGGCTGGGATGAGGGTGGAAGAAGTGATCGATTCAGGATGTATTTCCGAGCTAAAGACAGCAGTGCTTCCAATGGATTGGAAAGGAATTGAGGATGACTGGTTGGGGCCTTCAGCAACTCTGATGGGGTGATGCAGTTCAGGGAGCCATCTTCCTGGAGATAGAAAATGTAGTTGTCATCCATGTATAAATGGCATTTAAAGCCTTGAGGGTGGATGAGAAGAAGGAAAGGTAGAGAGAGCAGAGGTTGGAGGACTGAGCCCCGGGGCACTCCAAGGAGACAGTGTAGGAGCCACTAGTGAGAAAAGAAAACCAAGCCTATGTATAGCCCTGGAGGCATTAAGGGAAGTATTTCAAGGATGATCAATCATATTAAATTCAAATAAGTTTTAATTTCCATTCCCAATGCCTGCTCAAGTAATGACTCAGTCCTATAAAGGCCCTCAGCTCTCCCCTTCTCAGCTTTTCCAAATCCTATTTTGGGGTTATGGAATATGCTAAACCCCAGTTCAATTCCTTGTTTCACCCCTTAGCAGCTAAGACCCGTGAAATAAGCTAATAATACCTCCCTAGGAGATTCTGTGCCCGTTAATGAGATAATGATGTATAAACTGGGCACACAGCCAGGCACTTAGGAAGTGGCCCACAATTGGCAACCATTATTATTCAAGGCTCAGCAGTCACCTCCTGCAAAGAGTCTGGGGCTACTCTCTTAAGGCTGAAACCACTCACACCTCCTTCAGTGGGACCTAAAGGCTTAGTACTTGATCTCTAATTGCTTACACTTGTCTCTCCGGAGGCCTGGAAGACACATCTTTAATGGCCCCAGCAGGGCTGAACATGTAAAGTCTTCAATCCCTCAGCAAACCCTACATTTAGGAATGGCCTGGAGATGACATCTTCCATCACCTTTTTCTTTCTTATTCACAACTTATGAAACTGAGGTTGAATCAGTCAAAATCAGGTATTTTCAGCTGTTTACAAGGGGCTGCCAGGGTGTGCACTTTGCATAATGGTGTCTCACTGGCCCTCAAGGCAGAGAGAGTTTTGTTCGATTCCGACTCACTGCGACCATACAGGACAGAGTAGAACTGCTCCATACGGTTTCCTAGTTGTAATCCTTACCAGAGTAGATCGCAGTGTCTTTTTACCCTGGAGACGCTGGTGAGTTGGAACAGAACTCTAAACCACTGCACCACCATGGCTCCTCAGTAGAGGTAAAAGGACCCTAAATTTGACTCAGGGTAAACACAAATCCGCAGTCCAAGAAGACCAACCAAGAGTTATCAGAAACCAGTCACACCCTAGACTTTCAAGAACAATTATTCTAGGATAAGAACACTGGTTTTTATCCTCGGGCTACTCTTAACCCCTAAGGCCACAGATCCTGGGTCTGATAGGATCAAATTTTAAAGAAGAGTTAAGGGTGGGGAGAAGGAGCTCAAACCCCAACCTGGACCCAGTGCTGGACGAGTAATGAGCGGTCTAACCCTGGTCAGGCCTAGGAAATACAAGAGGCCTTCTTGTCAATGGCCCGCTCCGCAGCTAGGCCCACCCTGACCTGGCTTCCGACTTCCCCAGGCCGCCCCAGGCCTCGCTTGCGGTTATCTCTTCTCCGAATTCCGGTTTCTAGTCCCCACTTTGACCCTGACTCTCTGGACTGCCCAAGGCAGCCACACACCGCTCTCCCTGGGGTGATCTGCCCTTGCCTGCTCCCCTCTGGGGCTCCAGGCCTAGGCAGCTGCAGGCGACCGCCTCCCGCTCGCGCTGCCGCCCCTGCCAGCCCCCGCCACCTCTCCCCTTTGCAGATCACTTGCCTCCTCGAGGTTCTCATCCATCTTCTCCTTCTCCAGCTTCACGGCACCAGCGGGGGCAGCGCGGGGCTCGGGAGAGGCCCCCTCGGAGTTGCTCTCAACCCCGGCCCCCGCCTCGCCCTCCGGTTGAGGGGTCTCCGGGCCGCCTTGGGGCACCAGCCCCACGCCAACCTGAGGTCCACAGTACGCCATGCCTCCACAGAACTCGTACGGCGGAGGGCACGGGGGAATGCCCCACATCTCCGCGCCCGGCCCAACCCCTGGCCCGATTCCTGGCCCACCTGGGGCGCCTTGGAAGCTCAGCCAGGTGCGAGGGTCAGCCCAGCCCGGCTCTGACCCCGGCCCTTCGCCTCCACCGCCCGGCGGGGGCGAGAAGGCAAAGTCGGCAGCCAGGTGTCCCGCCATGGGGAAGGAAGGCGCCCCAAGCCGGGGGCCTGGTGAAAGGAGGGCTCTGTGAGGGACTGCTCTACACCTCTCTCCCTCCCCAATCCCACCCACCACCTTGACCTCTGGCCCCGCCCCCTGGATGGGTGGAGGAGAGGGCAGTGGGGGTGGGAGAAACTGAGGCGAAGGGTGTTTGCCTGTTGGTGGCAGTGGTGTTTGAGGACCAGGAGAACTAAGGAGATCCTATTGGGTGCCCCTCCAGTTTCCAGGGTCCTCAGTGCATGTCCCCCATGTGGACCTTGACTTCTGACTCCCAGTAGACTGCCCGGCCATGCACACCTTCAGGCCTGGTATCTCTTGGACACTCCACGTTCTTCATAAACCCTTGTGCCTGACCCTCTCCACAGACTCCTGGCACAATTCCCTCACTGGGGCCCAGCCACCCAGTTGGCTCCTTAAACATTTATTGAACTGTATGTGCTAAGTACTGCTGGGATTACCCTCCTTTCATTAACAGCCACAAATAAATTCACCAGCTACCCCCCGGCAGGGATGGATTACCCAGTAAGCAAGGTACGCATGGGCTTACCTGTGCTTACTTACTAATCTGTAGTGTACAACTTCACGTGTTTTTCACAATCCGTGTGAAATTGTGCACTACAGATTAGTAAGTAAACACAGTTAAGCCTGTGAGTACGTTGCTTACCATAAACTGGTGCGTACTGTGCTTACTCATTAATCGCCGCTGTGGGCTCCATGCCTCCCACCAGAAACCCAGGCATTCCCACCCACTTTACTGGCCAGACTCAGTTACCCCACAGCTTCAAGTCCCTGGCACCCATTGGCCCAGCCTGCTAAATTCCAACCCCATCAACAGGGGCAGATTGACACACCTCTGATTCTGCCCTAAGGATCCCATTTCATCCCCCACCTCCAACCCCCAGTCTTCTGGCCCCAGAGTCTCTTCACCTAACAGACTCTGGGACGGACTCCCACTTCCCCTTCTTGGGACAAGGCTCTGGACTGACTGGGTCTGAGATACCCGATCTTGGTCCTGACAGAGGAACCAGACACTCCCTCACATGGGACCCCCCATGGTGGGACCCGCACATCAGGGTCTTTGCCGCCCCTCTTCAGGAACCCAAGGATCTAATAGTGTAGGTCCTGTTCTCCCTCCCCCACCTCCCTACAACTGGCCTCCAGCCCTAGGCCCTGGGTGGGGAAAGTCAAGGTGGGAGGGGGAAGGAGAAAATATCTGACTTCAGGTTCAAAGCAGCCTGGGAGGGACGGGGGAAGGGGGCAGGACAATGGCCTAGGCTGGACAATCCCAGTCCCCAGAGGGGGCAGCTCTAACCCTAAACAAGTGCTCAACCCTTGAATGGGCCTGGATGGCTCCCCTGGGGACAGCTTCCTGCTCCCCCTAGCCCTCCAGCCCCAACCCCCTCACACAGAATCCCCCTCAGAGCAGCTAAAAGGAGCTCTAGCAACCCCCCTCCCCAGTGCCCCTCAAAGACTGTGCCTCCTCGGACAGGCTCCAAGGGCCCCCACCGGGACCCAGGTATCCCACTCCTCCTTCCTCAGGACTTAGGCGTCCGGCCTCACCACCCACCCCTCTCCCACCCCCAGGCCACAGGATGTGTTTTGTTTTGGGGGACTGACAGAAAGGTACTGAGGAGATAGGGAGCGATTTGGGGTGGGGGTGTAGGAAACCTGTCCTAAGCTCTCCCTCAGGGTCTGTTTTTTTGGGACCTGGCCTGGTGTTCCGAGGGCTCAAACTGCTGGCCTAGTTAGTGTTTGATGCTGTTTGCAAGAGAATAGCCCTCCCTGTGTCTGTCTGCTAGGGATGATGTTTGTCTGCTCCTAAAACCTGTCCTAAGTGGAGGCCCTGGGATGAATTAGGGGCTCTGGGAAGATTCTGGACCAGAGCTCCCCACAGCTTGGAAGGCAGAAGCCTCAGCCTGGGGACGCTGACCTCTGCCCAGCTTAAGGTACCTCGTCATCTCCACTCCAGGCTCAGCCCTTTCTGGGGTTGCTTCCTGGGGTCAAGAGGCTCAGTGTCTGCTTTCTGGGGGGCTGGGTGTCCCAGTAGGGCCCTTCTGTGGCCAAGGAGTCTGCTGTCTTTACCTGGGTGGTATCAGTGAGTCCTTTGAGCCTGTTTGTTTCCTCTGCGATTGTATCAAACTGCCCCGTTCATGTGCCCATCTGTGTATATTTTTAGGGCAGCAAACTATACGCGTGGGTTTCAATACTTTTCATGGGTGTACGAAAATCTAGAAGGGTTGTAGCTGTGTTCACCTCTAAGTCACTCACTGCCCAAAAGACAGGTAGATTAAGGGGCCTGGTGGGAGTGGAGAGACTTGGAACTGGAGGGGCCCTCCCCAGCCAGCTCCTCACTCCACAGGACAGAGCCATCACAGCACCTTTGTCATGCACCTATCTGCTGTCTGCCAAGAAAACGGCCTCCCTGAGAGGGGGAGGGGCAGACCCAGACTTGGCTAAAATCCTCACATTGGTGCCTTTAAGCTCACCACCCTCTAGGCTTCTAAAAACCCTTTACCCCAGCTGCCCCTGTCTTCCCAGAGACTCATTTTCCCCACCTTTCCCATTCAACATCACCCTCTTGCTTTTCAGATCACAGTTTGTATTTTCTCCTATGTAGTATGTTTCTGGCTTGGGCAAGAGGCCCGTTCCAGAGGGGGAGCCAGAGGAGGGGTGAGTTCCTGGGTCCTTGGCTGCTGTGGCCAGACATCTGAGCCAGGTCAGCCCAGTGCAAGCCTGGAGTCTAACCTGGAACCTTAAAGGCCAGCTAAACTCGTCTGGAGGCCTAGCCAGCCCCTCCTGGGGAGCTTAAGGCCCACAGGAGGCTAAGACAGGCTCCCCTCCCCCACCCACCCGCCTGTTAGCCTAAAGGGTAGGCGGCTTCCCTTCTGCCAAGGCCCACTCTCCCCAGAGTCCGCCCAGTGTTGTTGGTCCCTGTTGGGCCTGGAGGAGACTGGAAGCAAGGCTAAGTCATCAGACCTGGCTCCTTGATTCTCTTGAGTCCTGAGGAGTCGCTGAGAAACCTCAAGTCCTAGAAGCTAACTTAAGACGGGGCTCGCAAACTCTCCACATATATCTTTATTCCAACAATGTCAAGGCCCTTCACAAACACAAGTATCTGGTGGCGCAGTGGTTAAGAGCTACAGCTGCTAACCAGAAGACTGGCAGTTCTAATCCACCGGCCGCTCCTTGGAAACCCTATGGGGTGTTCTACTCTGTCCTATAACTATGAGTCAGAATTGACTTCACAGCAATGGGTTTTTTTGGTTTGGTTGCAGAACACTGCCGGGAGGTCCAGGGAGGGCAGATGAGGTCTGCCTCTCCCCCAGGTGTATCTGGCCAGCCTCACTGTAAGGAGTAATGGTGGTCTTGCTGCTGTCAGCCCAGCCATCTTCCACTGGGGGTGGGGGTGCTCCTTGTTTAGGCAAACCATTTGGAAGGGCTTAGGTGGGGACCAGTGGAGACATGCTCTAGACCACTGTCTTAATTTATCTAGTGCTGCTATAACAGAAATACCACAAGTGGGTGGCTATAACAAATAAATTTATTTTCTCACAGTTTAGAAGGCTAGAAGTCCAAATTGAGGCGCTGGCTCTAGGGGAAGGCTTTCTCTCTCTCAGTTCCGAGGGAAGGTCCTTGTTTCTTCCGCTTCTAGTTCCTGGTTCCTTGGAGATCTCCATGAGGCTTGGCATCAATCTTCCCCATCTCTGCTTCTCTCCCTTGCTTGTATAATCTCTTTTATATCTCAAAAGAGTTTGACTCAGGATACACCCTACACTAATCCTGCATCATTAACATAACAAGGACAACCCATTCCCAAAATGAGATTATAACCACAGGCCGAGAGGTTAGGATTTACATGTATTTTAGGGTGACACAATTCAATCCATAATATTCCACACTTCGGCCTGGAAAATTCATGTCCTTGCCACATGTAAAACACATTCACCCCATCACATCATCCCAAAAGTCTTAAATTAACTTTAAGTCCAAAATCTCATCTTCTGAGTCATCTAAATCAAATATGGGTGAGACTTTATTGGGCATATTCCATCCTGGGGCAAAATTCCTTTTCATTTGTGAACGTGTGAAATCTGAAATACAAGTTTTCTGATAGAACAGGCACAAGGTAGACATTTCCATTACAAATGGGAGAAATTGGAGGAAAAATGAGATAACAGGCACCAAGCAAGTCCAAAACCCAGCAGAACAGATTACCTTAGCTCTTAAGGTTTGAAAATAATCCTCTCTTCTCTGAGACCTTCTGGACAATGGCCCCGCCCTCCAGACTCTGCGTGTTGGCCACACCCTCTGGATTCTGGGTGGAGACCCCTCCCTCCTGAGCTTCAGCTCTGCCTTCCAGGCCCTCCCTGGGCTTTAGGCTGCCCGATTTTATAGTCCATCTGAGTGGCAACCCCACCCCTTCTGCCCCTTGGAGATGGAAGCCCCGCCCCCTCAGCTTGGGGTGGCAGCCCCATCCCGCTGGCACACTTTAACTGCAGCCCCCCCGCACTCCAGAAGCTAGTTGGTGAAGATCCAACTCTTTGAAACCTAGGAGGCTGTGGTCCCAGCCTTTGAGATCCAGGAAACCATGGTCCCACTCTCTGAAACCAAGAAGGTCCTACTTCTACTGCTCCTTCCAACAGTTTGGCTGATCTGCAAGCTGCTCCAGGGATGGTCCTTTTCTTTTCTTGGAGAACAACAGATGTAGCTCCTTTGGCCTGTTTCCTGCCTGTAGAATTCCAAGAGGCAGACAGTATTCTTTTCTTTTCTTATTTCTCTGTCCCCTTCAGTCTAAGGAAACCCTGGTGGTGTAGTGGTTAAGTGCTATGGCTGCTAACCAAAAGGTTGGCAGTTCAAATCCACCAGGTGCTCTTTGGAAACTCTATGGGGGCAGTTCTACCCTGTCCTATAGGGTCACTATGAGTTGGAATCAACTTGCTGGCAGTGGGTTTTTTGGTTTTCTTCAGTCTAAGCTAATGGGTTTTCTGCTGTGGTAGTTGGTTAGATCCACCAGTCACAGGCTTAATCTCTTTAACAAAAGATTGT